AAAACTGACACACATGAGAAATATCTTCAGATAATATGGTCCAGTCCCTCCTCACAAAGCGATGTCACCCCCATGTACACTCCTGCTGACCCATGGGCAGCTCCCCTGGTCCCCAGCCGCCTTCCCACACACCTACAATGATTCAGCCACAATGGTTAACACCACGAAAATGTCACTGTATGGCCTTTTTGCTGTGCTTAGCTCTGTGGGGCTCATTTGGCCCTTGGCATGGGTATGGGACACTCCCAACCCAAACTGCCAAGGCCACTGGACCATCTTTCATCCTCACTGCCGTCAGGTTTTATTGGGCCAGCCACCCTCTGGAACCAATTCTACCAGGTAGAGGGGCTTCTCCCACTCACACTAGAAACTCCACCGGTAACCTAGCCAGCAGGACAATTCTGTGTCTGTCCGTGAGAGGGTATGTGGGAGCCACAGTTCTGGAAAACAAGCTCCATTTGACAAGCCTGTCTGAATACGGTTTATCTGAGGTGAATTCCTGTGTCTACTGTGTTGGGAACTCGGGTTGCTGCAGAACAGGAGAGGAAGGAAGGGTGCCCCAGACATGGTCCAAGGTCTAGGGCACAAGCAAGCCTGGGCCTCAAAGCTCCCAGAGGTTGCCTGAATGCTGGGAGGGCCTTGGGGACAAGAGTCCCCCAGTGTGGAGAAGAGGGGGCTTCTTCTCCTCAGCCAGAGGGAGTATGGTAGGCAGAATAACACCCTCTCAAAGATGAGCACATCCTGATCCTGGAATCTGTGAATATGCTGTGTTACGTTACAAAGGGGAATTGAGGTTGCAGACGAAATTAAGGTTGCCAATCAGCTGACTCTGAGACAGGGAGAGTATCCCGGACTGTCTGGGTGGGCCCAATGTAACCACAAGTGTCCTTAAAAGTAGAAGAGGGAGGAAGCAAACAAAACCTAAATTACCTTAGAGAATACTAAATTTTAGTTTACAGACTGTTAGTAGAAATGTGGATGTTGAAGGTGCTGCTGGCAAGAACTCGGAAGGAAATGAGGACCATGCCATTGGAAACCGGAGGAAAGAGCATCCTTGTAATACAGTGGCTTAGGGGAATTGTGTCCCGCGTTGTGAAAAATGGAACTTAGAAGTGGTGAACTTGAATATTCAGCTGAGCAGATTTCCAAGGAAAGTTTGAAGGAGAAGCCTGCTTTCTACCTTCAGCTTAATGTAAAATGTGAGAGAAGAGAGAGAAATTGAGGCAAGAACTGTTAACCCAAAAGCAATAGGGACTTGATGGTTTGAGAAATACTCAAGCTACTCAAATGGCAAAGGATGCTGACATTAAGAGCTTCTCTGTCAGGAAAACATGCTGTAGAGAAAATGCTAAGAGTGGCTGGACACACTTTTGCTAATAAATATCTCAGAGAGATCAAAAGTTCAGAGTACTCAGTCATACAAAAGGCTCTTTGAAATAAGCCCATGAAAAGATGCTCAACATCATTAGTCATTAGGGAAACGCAAATCAAAACCACAATGAGATAGCACTTCACATCCATTAGGATGGCTATTATAAAAAAAAGAAAATAGCAAGTGTACATGAGGATACGGAAGAATTGGAACTCTTGTGCATTGCTGTGGGAACGTAAAATGGCACAGCCATTGTGAAAAACAGCTTGGTGTTTCCTCAAAAAGTTAAACATAGAATTACCGTATAATCCACCAATCCCACTTCTAGATATATACCCAAAGGAATTGAAAGCAGGGACTCAAACAGATACTTGTACACTAATGTTAGCATTATCCACAATAACCCACAATAGCCACGATAGCCAAAAGGTAGAAACAACCCAAATGCTGATTAACAGATGAGCAGGTAAACAAAATGTGGTATATACATACAACGGAATATTATTCAGCCTTAAAAAGAAATGAAATTCTGATATGTGCTACAACATGAATGAAACCTGAAAACATTATGGTAAGTGAAATAAGCTAGACACAAAAGGAGAAATATTGGATGATTTCACCTGTATGAGGTACCTAAAACAGGCAAATTCATAGAGACAGAAAGTACAATAGAAGTTACCAAGGGACTGGGGCGGGGGGGAGGGAATGGTGGGGAGTTATTATTTAATGGGTACAGAGTTTCTGTTTAGGATGATGAAAAAATTCTGGAAATAGATATTGGTGATGACTATACAACATTGTGTATGTACTTATTGCCACTGAATTGTACACTTAAAATGGTTAAAATGGTTTTATGTTATGTATATTTTACTGCAATTTTTTAAAGGCTCTTTGAAGAGAATAAGCGTGTGACTCATAGATCCCCTTAGCCAGCTGAGCAGAAATCAAAAATAGAGATGGGATTATCTAGGAAAGATATGTGGAGGTGCCTTTTGTCTAATGGAGAGAATTTCTGTGACATACACATGAGTCCCACAAGCTTATTGAGGATGTTATATCAGCAGAAACACTACCAGTTTAGACTGAAAGGGACAGAGAGAGGACAAAATGAGAAGGATGTCAATCCCCAAAATTCTATAGGCAGGAAACAGGCTGATGAAACCACTGAGCTGCAAAAAGGTACTACCTGTCATCAAAAGGGAACGATGATGGTGAAGCTTTGAGCCCAGAGAGTGGAGCCACAAGCCCAGAGGATTATTCCCAGGCCTAGAAAGCAGCTGAACTTTAAAATTGCTTGGGACCAGTGACTTCTTTTTCCTTTCACTTTCTCCCTTTGGAATGGAAAAGCCTATGTATGCCCAACCCACCACTGTATTTTGGGAGCAGGTAATTTGTTTCTTGGATTTCATAGGTTCACAGATAGAAAGGAACTGTGGAGCCCAAAGATGAATTATTCTCGGAGCCTCCCTCTACCTGGTTTAGATGATGAAATTTTTTTTTACTTTGAGTTGATGCTATACTGGGATGAGACTCTGGGATGAAGTGAATGTATTTTGCATGTAGGATGGACATGAATCTTTGGAGGCCAGAGGGCAGACTGTAGTAGGCAGAATAGTAGTCCCCTAAAGATGTCCACACCCTATCCCCAGAATCTGGGAATGTGTTGTTACATGGCAAAGAGGAATTATGACTGCAGATAAAATTAGGGTTGCTAATCAGTTGACCTTGAAAAAGGGAGATTACCCTGGATTATCCTGGTGGGCCCAATGTAATCACAGAGTTCTTAAATGTGGAGGACAGGGGCAGAAAAGGAGACCAGGATGGTGTGATGTGAGAAGAACTCGACTCTTTCAGCACTGAGACCATCCCCATAAGCGTGCTGGTCCACTTTGACCCTCGATGGTGCCACTCCGTGGGGAAAATGGAACAGGGTGGAAGTCAGTGCTTTCTCTGCTTTAGCCTCTCTCTTATACCGTCTCAGTAAGTGATCAAAGGCTTGACTGTTACTTTAATTTGACTTCTCTTAACCAGCTATCCTGAAACCTGGCAGGTCAGCTCTCTCCAGCTCAGCTGAGCTCCTGACAATACAGTGGTTAAGACTGAACTGCCTCTACCACTTACTAGCCGGTTACTTTAGAAAAGTCACTTTACCTCTGAAATGCTAACAATATCTGCCTCATAGGGTTGTTGTTGTGAGGATTTAATGAGTTGACATATGTAATGCATGGAGTAAGTTCTGTTTGCTCTTACTATGTTCAACATTGTCAATTTGTTTGGAGAGTGCCTATTGGCTTAGCCCAGGTCATGTGCTCCACCCCAACCAACTCTTCCCCTGCTCCAAGGGTGGTACAGGGGACCCGGACTAAACCAATCGGCACGCTCCACCTCCCAGACTGGTTCAAGGTGGGCATCTCACGTAAGCTGGTCCAGTCACAGTGAATCTGAAGACTTTGGCTGAAAATTCTGGGACAGAGACAGTCTCTCTTTCCAGCAGGACATGAGCAAGGAATCACAACAACCCAGGAGATGCTGGCAGCCATACTGGGACCACAAAGAGCATCAACCTTAGGAAGAGAGAAACGCCTTGGAGGACAAGAAACAGAAACTGGGTGCTTGGTGCCGCCCCGATTTCTGGATAAAGCCTTGTCTCACCTAGAATATTCATTTACCTGAGCCCTTTATCGTTTAGGCCAATTTGAGTTAGGTGCTCTGTAACCTGTAACCCAAAGTCTCCCAACACCCAGAGTGGATCTGTGAGCAGCCAGAGGCTCTTGGGAGTTGCAGCAGGCTGGGTCCCTGACTCTGAGATGGAGAGTAGGGTGCAGGACGTGTATTAAGGAGCGCCCTTGGAATCAACAACCGAGGAAGGGCAGAGGAGTGCGCAGGACTACGCAGAGGGTAAGTGGAGCTGCAATGCCGGCCCGAGGACAGTTTCAGCCTGCCCTACAGGAGTTCTGGAGCCAGAACAGCCCTTCAGAGCTGTCCCAAGTTAGGCCAAGATGGCTGGGCTCTGGTACCTGCACATCGAGCATTCCTCGGATGTGGGAAGGGGCCTGACCTTGGGTGAGGTGGCTCTCTGCAGCCAGGGCAACCGGTGAAGTGTCTGACAGCTGAAGGACACCTGCCCACAGCACTTCCGGTAACTGGAGCAGCAGGTCCCTGCCAGAAGGGGGGTCTGGGCGGCACATCTGTAAGTCTGCCCCAGGGAGCACGTGGTGGGGAACTGTGGCTGACCACGCAGTTGAGTATCAGTTTGTATTCACGTCCATATGCAGGTGGGGTGGAGGCCCCGGACAGACAGATGGCTGGACTAGAAGAGAGACGGCCACCAGCAATGAAGGCCCAGCAAGTTCCCGGGTGTATCAAACTCAAGGAGTGTCCCCTCCACCCTGGCACCGTCCTCAACAGGTCTGGGTACAAACTGGGAGGGAAACTGGGCTCCCACTGCACCAAGGAGAAGGTGGCCACAGAGCCATGGAGACTCAGGCAGGGGGTCACCCCGGCATTTCTCGAGAAGTTTTGAGCCCCAGGTGCAGTCAGCACAGCTGCCCTATGTTGAGACAGTCCATTCCTACCACATCTTCTACAAGGCCTAGCTGGAACCCCCAGGCACGGCAAAGAGCAACGGAAATCCAGCTTTATTGGTAAAATGGAACAGGCAGACTTTCCTTTGGGAATTCCCACCTGGCCCAAGCAGCAGCACCAACCAGAAGAAGGGAGAAAGGAAGGGAAAAAGGGAGGGAGGAAGGGAGGGAAGAAAGGAGGGATGGAGGGAGAGAAGGGACAGAGGGAGGGAAGAACTGCAGACCAGGGTCTGAATGGGGACGTAGTCTTGGAAGGAGATGACTCAAGGCTCCAGGTGTGGGGAAGAGAGTGCAGGGACAGAGGGGCAGCCCACGGCCCCGCCATCTAGAAGGGTAGCACCTCTTCCACAGGGATATTGAGGATGACATCCATGTCTGGGGTGCACCTGGTAGGGAAGAGCAAAGTGGCATGTGAGAGGCCAAGCAGGGGCACCACAGTTGCAGGTGGGGGAGCACGTCCCCGGGGAGCCCTGCTCTTTAGAGCACTGGCATCCACCTGGTGAGCCCCATTCCAAAACAGAACCTGTGACCTTGCAGCCAACTGTGCACATGCACGCACACATACATCAAAAATGAAAAAGGAATGGGTTTGACAGGTAATGTTCCCCTACAGAGGGCCAAGGTCAAGAGGGAGCAGGAACTCAGCTCTGAAATGCTGAGGCCCCTCAGGACGAGCACTCTCTTTGGAGTCAGGATGACTAGTTTGGAAACCCGGCTCTGTGTCACCTTGAACATACTACTTCTCCTCTCTGAGCTTCACTCCTTCAGTTGGCACTTATGTCACAAGCACTCACTATGTGACAGACCCTGGTGGCCTGTTTCCCCATCTGTCAAAGAGGTCCCACCTCGGTGGTTGGTAGGAGGATAAAATGGGATCGTGCCAGCATGTAGGAAGTGCTCAGTAAATGACAGGCGTTATTCTGTCCATACAGGTAGCAAGAGAGACAGGTTCCATCTGCTATACATTCTCCAACTCAGTGACTGGCACATTTATGGGGCTGCAGGATTACATCCTCTCTCCACTCTCTCCCATTTCTCTCATCCCCTCTCATGGTTTCAATAACCCACCCATGCACTCCGAAGTATTTAGGCATGAAACGTCAGGAGGTCTGAATTTACGATACCTCAGAAAAAAAAAAAGGAAGGAAGGAAGATGAAGCCAATATGGCAAAAATATAACAAATTCTAAATGTAGATGGGCAATTCAGTATTCGTTATAATATTCTCTCTACGTTTCCGTATTTTTGCAATTTTTCATAATAATAGTAAAAAAAAAAATGCATCTCTATACTGGCAATGCCCAAATTTTCATCTCCAGCCAACATCTGTCTTCTGAGGTCCCACTCACATACTCAGGGCCTGTGTGACGGCTCCACACTGAGGTCTCACGTAAACCAAGCTGAACGGCCCCGTCAACTCTCAACTGCACCGACATCTATACGTATCCTTCGCCCCGTCCCCCGTCTTCCTATCTCTGGATTTGACACCACCACCCACCCTGTTACAAAAGCCGGGAACCTAGAGGTCATTCTCAACACCTCCCTGTCCTGTACCTCCCACATCCAAACATCACCAAGTCCTACAGACTTTACCTTCTTAAATATGTCTCCCGTCCACCTATTTCTCCTGTCTCTTGTGTCACCCACCTTGGCCAAGCCACTCCCAACTCTCCCCTGGACAAACTGCCATCACACCCACCTGGGCTCCCAGCACCTACTCTGGCTCCTCTCCAATCTCTTCCCCAGGCTCTGTGCAAAGCGACTTCTTTTAAATACAAATCTGATGTTGACCATTCAGCTTAAAAACTCCTTGCTTTTAGGATCAAGTAGAAAACTCCCACCTTGACCCAGAGGGCACTGCACAGAGGTCCCTATTCCTCTCCCTGTCCCTCTGCATTCCAGCCACACTGGCCTCGCTCGGCTGCATGGAAACACCCACCTCCCTCCTACCACAGGTCCTTCACAGCCTCACTGCTCCACACGTGGTCCAGAGACCGGCAGCCTCAGCGTCACCTGAGAGCTCCTTAGAAATGCACGCTCTTGAGCCCCACTCCAGACCTACTGATTCGGAATCTGCTTTTTAACAAGATCTCCAGCTGATTCCTACGCGTGTTCTGGCTGCAGAAGCTCTGTTAGCAGCACGCCATTCCCACTTTTCAGGAGGGGGAGCTTCTTCCTCTCCTGGTGTCTCCTTCCACGTGGAAGGAGCATCAAGGAGCATACTGCTCTGGCCACTCCTCGCCCCTTCACTCACTCTGCCCCTGGCAGGGGACACCGCTACCTGAAGGGCGAGTCTAGAGAGACAGAGGAGGCACGGGTAGTGCCGCCCCGTCCTCTCTCAACAACCAGCAGCCCGCCAGGACTACACTCTCCTCTGCTCCCAGGTAGCTGGCCAGGTAGCTCTCTTTGCCTAATTCTAGGTTCAATATTCAGAAGCCAACATGCCAGGAGAAATAAGCCGCATTCTCTAAAACAGGTTTTTTAATAATAAAAGTGACAATCTGGCCCACGTCAGCCCTACCCCTTCCAGGCTTATTTCAACGTGTTCAGAGCTGAGACAGGGACAATGGTGCCTCCTCATTAATCCCCGAGTCCCCAGCAACACCACCTAGCCATGCTCTTCCTTCAGCTCGCCCTTCAGCCCCCTTTGCCTAGTGAACTTCCACACACCTTCAGACCTTAGCTCAAGTGGCACATTCTCAGGGAAACCTTCCGTCACCACCCCAGACTCCTCGGTGTCGGGACGTGCTCTCCCGCGCCGGGTACCTCTCCTTTGAAGACCAGCTCTTGGCTCAGCTGAACTGGACACTCATTTGTGGCTCATTATTGATTAATGTCTGGTCCTTCCTTGACTCCACAGTGGCAGAGCCAAGGGTTGTTTACACTCACGATGCCCGGGGCTTCATAGATTTGACAGTATTTTTTAAGGAAAAGAAGAGGACAAGGAAGGAAAGGGATAGGAAGAGAAGGAGACAGACACGGAGGCTAAGAAGAAGAAAAATTAAATAATTCTCAAATACCAGGATCTGTCCCACACGAATCACAGTGCCCCAGGGTCCTGTGTCATCATGGAGAGGCCTGGCCCAGCGGGACCCCCAAGCTCAGCCAGAAAGGCCCAAGCCCAGGGAGGGCAGGCAGAGAACTGGTTTGGGAAGGAAGACACTTCTTTCTTTGGGGCTCAGAAGTCCGCCAAGCAGGGAGGACATCCTTCCCTCCTTGCAGTGTGTCTTCCAGGCCATTCTTCCCTGGAGCCCACCACCCCACTCCACTCCACCTTCCTGAACACCCAGGAGCTTAGGGGTGCACCTGCTTGGTTGGAACATGGAATCCGGGAACTAGAAGGGTCCACAGAGATTACCTACCTCAGCCTGCTGTGCACAGATGCAACACTAAGGCCCAGAGATGGGAAAGGCCACATCTGCCACGTGGTCAGTGGCGGTGCCCAGGCAAAAACCCAGGTCTCCCGCCTCCCTTGCGGGGTTCTGCCTTCTACCCCAGGCTGCCTTCCCTGAGAACACAGAGCCGCCTTGAGCCCGCAGCATGGCTGGTTTAAGAGGCAGCTGCAAAAAGATCACGTACTTGGGTCTCCGAAGCAGAACGTCTGCAAATATGATCTCTCGAGGTTCCTGGATCTGGGCTCGGAGCTGTTCCACCTCGGCCCTTAATGTGGGTATTTCCTCCTCAAGCTGGCTGATACACTGAGGAGAGAGGCACAGCCGGGGAGAGTAAGAAGCCAAATGTCCCCCAACCAAAGGGAGAAAAGGGCAAAACGGGTGAGGAGTAAAGGGCAAAAGCCTGGGCTTTGCCCCTGGGACTCCCCGGACCCTAGAGAAGGGCCTCTCCACGCAGGGCGGGGCCGCTCACAAGGTAGCAACAATGTTTGCTGGTGCTGCAAAAGGTGAGGGGTCCTGGAGAATGGAGACAGGTGGCAAAGGGGTGGCAGTACTTGACAATGAGGTTTAATGGGGGTTGGCAGAGACGGTGAAGGCCACTCACACAGCTGATGAAGGTGCAAGATAATGACAATTAATGCAAGAGGCTGGTGACAGTGAAGTGCATTAACACTGCCAATGAGTGACGGTCAATGACAAGAATTAGGAGGTGATGATAGGGGGTGGGTAACGACAGTAAAATGATGGTTGAGTGGGTGATGCCTGGTGACGGTGCTAATGGGTCATAAGCAGGGATGCTGGTCAATGAGGCGAAGGCTGGGCCGGCACCAATCTCCTTCTCAGATGAATGACGAGTGACAGTAATGGCACTGGCAAGGAGGAAGGCCAACACCAGAGTTGGAGACCTCCTGAGCACCAGGTAAGGACAAGCCTGACTCCCACAGGTCCTGGGGACACCCCACCCTCCTGCTCCCTCACAGACAGACCATCGCCTTCCTTGCCCACTCACTTCTCTGAACTTGCCCACGCATTTCAGCATGTTCTGGCTATCCCAAATCTTCTGCAGGAGAGCCTCCTGATAGGGATACTGGGTTTTCTGTGGAGGAAGGAGAGGTCTGACCCAAGTCCCTCTTCTGGGGCAGCAGTGCATGGCAGACCGGTGGGGGTGCAGGGAGCCTGGAGGCAGAGCATCGGGAAGAAAGCAGGGGTGGGCGCAGGACCTCGATACCCGCCACAGCCGCTGGCTACTCACCACCACCAGAGCCCTCAGAAGGTCTTTTTTCTTCTTCTGAATCTGCTGGGACAAAGACTCCAGGACCACTTTGCGCATCTCATCAAGGTCATCCAACTCATCCTGGGGGTCAGCAGAAGAGTGCTCGCCACCAGCCCTGCCTCCGGCACGGTCCAGCGGGGCGGGGCCAGGGGCTCACCCACCTGCTGGCTGTCCTTCATCTGCTGCAGCTGGCGCACAAGGTTGGCAATCTGGACCGACTTGACGGGATATTCATGGTCCATGTAAGTGCTCAGGAAGCTCACCTCCTCCTGGGTCTTCTCGATCTTGCCATTCAGCTGCTCCACCTGCTGCTCCAGGTCTGGAGAGGTCAGGAGACAAGAGGCAGGATGCTCCCTCAAGGACCCCTCCCAGGAGATCCAGGAGGCAAAGCTCTCCTTGGCCAATTGGGGTCTGGGCTGAAGCAAGCTCACACAGGCAGGGAGGTGGTGAAAAGTTAAGCCCCTAGGGAGTCTGTCACCCCCGCAGAAGAAAACACAACACTGGGTAGGAAAGAGAGATTAAACTGGTGCAAGATCCCTGGACCAGTCTCAGCTCTGCCACTGACTTACTGAGTGACCCTCACCAAGACCGTCCCTTTCTGGACCTCAGTCTCCTCATACAGAAGCCCCCAAGGCAACGAGCCCAGAGAGATGGGGTGACACTGACTCCCAAGACACAACCACAGCAGGATTAAGACAAAGCCAATCCTGCCTTCCTCCATGGAGGGGAGCCCCACAGTGGGAGGCTGCCCGACACACCGCCCCTCCCCTCAGAGGGCTTCTAGTATGCTCAGGGGAAAGAAACCATGGGCTCAGCGGGATGGAAGCCAGGAGACCTAGGACTTGGCCCAGCCACAGACTCAAAAGAGGGACCTTGGCAGGCTGGGATTGGATTCTGGCTCCTAGCTGCATAACCTTCAGCAGGCTACCTCACTTCCCTTAGCCTCAGTTTCCTCATCTACAAAATGGGAGAACAGTCCCTGCCTCCCAGGTAGTTGTAATGACTGAGAGTGTGCCCACAAAAATGAAGACACATGGGGCCTGCAGGTGCTAAGTGCTCACTAAGTAGCTACTAGCTCTGCATCTTAGTAATTCCATCTGCCTGAGAGGGGAGGTGATGGGCCTGACGGTTTCTGAAAGGAAGGTACTTGGTGAATGCCCTGCAGCTGACCTCCCCAAGGGGTGGGTGAGGATCAGGGAGTTCGACCCAGGGACTCTTACAGCTCATCTTGGATTCCTCCTTCTCCTGCCACTCCTGAAGCTCACGCTTCATCTGCTGCAGACTCTTCTTGTTGAAGCTGTCCAAGATGTCAACGACGGTCTGTGGGGGTGCTGGGTCAGCTCACCCCCAGCCTCTGCTGGCGCTGCCAAAGCATGGCTCTCGGGAGACTCAGCACTTCCTCAGAGGAGTCCCCAAAGCTAGACCCATTCCCAGGCCCAGGAACCTGACCAGAGGCTGGAAAGCAGTCACCTACCACCCTACCCCCTCCAAACCTTCCCCTTTCCCACCAACCACCTCAGCTGATGGCCCTACCACACACCCAGGTATCAGTCCCTACTCCCCTCTCTCATCCAAAATGTCACCAAGTGACACCAAGAATGGATTTTATCCCCACATCAGCCCTCATAGCTGTGCCTTTCTCTCCATCCCCACTGCCACTATCTTATTCAAGTTCTCTTCACTTCCTGTCTGAAATATTACAAGAGCTACTCCTAACTGGTCCTCCTTTGATTGACTCTCCACCCAGCAGCCAGAATGATCTTCCTTTAAAGAAACAGCTGGCCACATCCCTCTCCTATTTAAAACCCTCCAATGGCTCCCCTCTGCCCTATAAATAAGGTCCAAACTCTTAACCTTGGCTGACAAGGCCCTCCTCCATCTGGCCTGGGCCAATCTCATCTCTGTCTGATCCCTTCCTCACACCTTATCATCCAGCAAGCAACACGTGGCTCCTTGAGCCAGCTACGCTCCCTCTCACCCCAGGCCTTATGTACCCATTTCCTCTGCCTGGAACACTCGCTTGCTCTCTACCAGTTAGCACTGTCTTCCGCAGGTTTCGACTCAGGCATCCCTTTCTCCAAGAAGCCTTCCTGATCCTCCCATGTCTGTGTTAGAAGGCCCCTCAAAGCTCCCCAAGTCCCCCATCCCCATCACGGTACACAAAAAAGGCTTTCTGCCTGCCTGTGACAACACTAGAATGAGAGCTTGGTGTGGACGAGGTGTCCCACTGATCGCTGTTTCCCAAGGGTTCATATATAGGAAGCTCTCAGGATGAATGAAAAATGTAGAAATGGCTCAACAGAGGAAAATCAGACAACGACTTTATCTAGGTTTGGAGAATATTCTATCTACTAAGTTTCCTTGGGCTGAGTAACTCTATACACCCTTGGTCTCTGTTATAGACTGAATTGTGCCCCTCCTCAAATTTGTATGTTGAAGCCCTAACCCCCACCCCTGATGTAACTCTATTTGGAAACAGGGCCTTTAGGGAGGTAATTAAGGTTTAATGAGGTCAAAGGGTGGGGCTCTACTCTGAAACTAGCGTCCTTATAAGAAGAGGAAGAGACACCAGAGATCTCTCTCTCTCCACGCATGTACAGAGGAACTGCCATGTGAGGACACAGCAAGAAGGTGGCCATCTGCAGCTCAAGGAGAGAGGCCTCACCACACACCAACTCTGCTGGCACCCAGATCCTGGACTTCCAGCCTCCAGACTGTGAGAAAATTAATTTCTGTCATTTAAGCCACCCGGTCTGTGGTATTTTGTTATGGCAGCCCAAGCAGACCAATTAAGGCCCCAAGAAGTCTGCATTTTCTTTTCATCTCACAGGCTCCAAGTGAGCTCAGTCCCTCTTCTCCCTGGACAGACTGCAGTCGGAGGGGAATTACTTCTCCATTAAACCATTTTCTCTGATTCTTCTCCAGCCCAAACTCCTGGGTCCCCTGTGAACTTTCAGCCCTCTCCCCACAGCTTCACCAAGTCTCTCCTAGAGGAGGCAGAGGATGTTCCCCCGGCTCTCCAAAGCCACTCTTCACCCACAGACCATAAGTGCCACCACTGAGTGAGGGTGGTAATCACAGCATGGCGGAAGGAACACAGATCCTGCCACCAGACTGCCTGGGTTCAAATCCCAGCTCTGACCCTTGGTAGCTGGGTGACCTTATGCAAGTCACCTAGCCTCTCTGTTTCCATTTCTTCATATGTAAAATAAAAACAATAATAATGCCCACCCCACAGGGTTGTTGTAAGGATTATACGAATATATACACAGCACTCAGTATTATACCATATAAGTATGTGTGAATGCTGGTGGTGGTAGCAGCTACTTTCTCTTGCACACCTACTGTGTGCCAAGTACAACCCTCCTTTGCGGTAGGCGCTATTGTGCCTCATTTCACAGAGCTCAGAGGTAGACTTTGAGTCACCTCAAAGACGTTGGGATGAGCCCCCCATCTCGGTCTGATTCCAAAGACCAGGGAGGTGGGGCGAAGTGTGTAAGAGATTTATCTTCCAGATGGAGGAAGCAGCTTGTGTAACCGGCCGGGAGAGGCCGGGAGAGGGCACCCGAGCGCTCAGGAGGGCGCTGCCGGGAAGGGCAGGACCGCAGTGCAGAGGGCAGAGGCGGGGCTGTGAGGCCACCGTGGGGCCTCACCGCGAGGATGTCCTGCTGCTGCAGCATCGCGCGCAGTCTCTCGGCACAGCTGTCCTCCATGTCCTGGATGGTCTTGATCAGCTCCCCATTGAGCTTGGTGAGGAAGTCCTCGTGCTTGCGGCGCTCCTGGAGTGAGGTTTGCGAGTTCCTAAGCATCTTCTGCAGGAGGAGAGAAGAGAAAGCGAGGCGGTGCTGCCGCGACGACCAGAACCTCCGGGAGCCTGGGGACCACTTCCCTCCCGCCGCACACCCGCCCCCTTGTGGCCTCGACTGGTAAATGCGACCCCATTGTCTGCAGGTCAGAGCACCTACAACTCTTCCATCCACTCTGAAATGCCCATTTTCCCATAATTTTACATCTCTGAGGTGGGGATGCATCTTACAATTGGTGGTGTGTCACAATCTAACAGACAAATATCTTAGTAGTGAGTAAATAAAATAAAGGTATGCCTTATTATCAATGGCTTCTTAGAATCAGTGAAAGATAGTGGTGATCATAACAGAAAATGCCCCATGTGGATAAGAAGGTGGCAGAGGTGACGGCCACGTCTGGAAGGGAAGCAGGGAGGGAGAGGGGATGATAAGCCCTCCCACTTCTCGTCAGGTAGCTGAGTGAGTACCTCTCATTTCCTACAATGCCCCTGTGCAAACAATAAGGGTCTGAGGGGTTCAGTGACTCGTCTAAGGTCACCCTTGGTGGGTACACAAAATCTACAATAATAATAATAATAATAACAACTGTTGAGGGCCTACCATGTGTCGGGCACTGTACCTCACTCAGCACATGGCACACAGTGTCAGTTCACCCTCCAACAGCTCTATGTTTACTAACTCTATTTTAATGCTAGGCGGAAGCTCAGACAGGTTAAGTGACTTGCCCAAAGTCACACAGCCAGGAAGTGGTGGCAGCAGAACTGGAAAGGCAGACTTCTGACTCCCCACGTCTGTCTTTCCACTACACTGAGGCACGGAACTGAGTGGGCTTAAAGCTGCAGAGCATGGCTGAACCTCAGAGTGATTAAGACTTTGATGTCAGGCCTAGATACACCTCGGTTCAAATACCTGCTATGCCACTTACCACCTACGGGAACCTGGGCGAGTCAGTGAGCCTCCCAGCGCCCTGCTACACTCATTCTACAGGTTAGGAAACTAACACCCGCTTCAGAGAGCTGCTGTGAAACACAAATGAGACAACATTCACAACTAAGCCACTCAGTGGCAGTGCCTCGAACACAGTGCACACTCAGTGAACAGTAGCTGATACTACAGTAGTCCCCCTCATCCGAGGTTTCGCCTTCCGAGGTTCCAGTTACCCACGGTCAACTGAGGTCCAAAGATATTAAATGGAAAATTCCAGAAATAAACAATTCATACGTTTTAAATTGCATGCCATTCTGAGTAGCGTGATGAAATCTCACACTGTCCTGCCCCATCCTACCCGGGACGTGAGTCATCCTTTTGTCCAGCACGTCCACACTGTGTACGCTGCCTGCCCATTAGTCACTTAGTAGCCGTCTGGGTTATCAGATCAACTGTGGCTGTATCACAGTGCTCGTGTTCAAGTAACCCTTATTTTACTTGGCCCCAGAGCACAAGGGTAGTGATGCCGGCAATTCGGATATGCCAAAGAGAAGCCATGAAGTGCTTCCTTTCAGTGAAAAAGTGAAAGTTCTCAACTTAATAAGCAAAGAAAAAAAATCGTATGGCACAATAACATTTTTTTTTTTTTTTTGGTGAGGAAGATGGTCCCTGAGCTAACATCTGTGCCCATCTTCCTCTATTTTGTATGTGGGATGCCGCCACAGCATGGCTTGATGAGTGGTGTGTAGGTCCACGCCCGGGATCCAAACCTGCAAACCCGGGGCCACCAAAGCGGAGTGCTCGAACTTAACCACTAGGCCACCGGGCCGGCCCCTATAGTAACTTTTATAAGAGTATATTGTTACAATTGTTGTATCTTATTATTAGTTATTGTTGTTAATCTCTTACTGTGCCTAATTTATAAATTAAACTTTATAATTTATAAATTAAACTTTATTTCTCATGTATAGGAGAAAACATAGTATATATAGGGTTTGGCACTATCCGTGGTTTCAGGCATCCATTGGGGGTCCTGGAATGTATCCCCCATGGAGGAGGGGGGACTACTATTCTCTCACCAGCGCTAGCCCTCCACCTCTGCCATATCTATGCACTCCATTCTTTATTCCTTCTGTTCTTCTTCATTTCTGTGTCCTTTGCTAGAAACTACCCCTTCCTAGCCCTCGGCTCCCATAGTCCTCACGTAATAATACAAGTATAGTGCAAACCTATGGAGTGCTTATTATGTGCCCAAAACTGTGCTAAGCACTTCACACGCACTACCTCACTTGGCAATATTATTAGCCGCACTTTATAGAAGCAGAAACCGAGAGTCAGAGAGATTCAGTAACTTACCCAGGGTCACACATGGCAGAGCTGTTATCCTTGAAGTCTGGGCTCCTAGCCACTCCACTCTTTTGCCTTCACAACTCCAGACCAAAATATCCCCCAAATATGGCTCACAGGGACCAGAAGCATCTTGTGAAAAATACCAGTCTCCAAGCCTCAGGCCCACTGAGCCAGCATCCTGGGGCTGGCACCAGGAATCCAGATTAACACACAGCCCATACCCAGGTGGTCCGACAAACGGTAGAATTACCGACCTCAGTCCTAGAAATGGATCTTCCCTGACCGCCAGATCTAGTGTAGAAACCCTGCTTTGTTTCGTTCCTGACCCTTACCCCAATTTGTAATTATGTAACTAGTTTGTAATTATGTCTTCCCCTTTGCCAATTTACTTTTCTCCTAGGACTTACCACCACCCAACATAACAGGTATTTTTCTTATTATCTTGTTTCTTGTCTATCCCCCCCACTAGAATGTCACAGCCAGGAGGCAGGGGCATTGTTGTTTTGTCACAGCGGTATCTCCAGCACATAGAACAGTGCCCGGAGCTCCATAAGTCTGGGCTGAATAAACGGATGAACTATTCTTTGGGTTTTTTTAAATTCATTTATTATGTGTCTCCCCACTAAAGTGTAAGCTCCATAATAGCACAAATTCTGAGTTCTGTGTTCACCGTTGTGTCCCCACCACCCAGCATGGTGCCTGACACACAGCAGGCACTCTCTCAGGAGTTGTAGATTGAATAAATAATTGTCCTGAGGCTGAGAGTCAGACTCAGGATCCTACTCCATCTTCAAGAACAAACCAACCAGCTATTTTCTGCTCCCTTCCTCTGTTTCCCCTTTGTGCCCACAGTCTATTCTCCACACAGCAGCAATCCAAGGACTCCTGTGAAAACCTAAGTCAAATCACGTCCCTGCTCTACTCAGAGTCTTCCAGGGTCTTCCTGTCGTACTTGGCATAAAACACAAAGCCTAATCATGGACTCCAGGGCCACATACGAGCTATCCCCATGACCCCCTACACCCCCACCTTTCCTCCTCATCACCTGCTCCAGCCACATCGACCTCACACCAAGGGCCTTTGCACTTGCAGTTCCTCTGCCTGGAACATTCCTCCCTCGGATGTCACCACCTTCGCAGCCTTCCCTGACCACCCTGCCTAAAAGAGCCACTCTCTCCTCTGTGCCTCTCTAGCCCCCTAACCTTATCCTTACACTTCTTCAGAACTCTTATCGTCATTACACATATTATGGATTTAGTTGTCTTGTTTATTGTCTGTCTCCCCCAGTAGAATGTGAGCTCCCTAATGTCAGAGACCACATTGCTGGGGAATCCTCACATTTAGAACAGGGCCTGGCACATAGTAGGCGCTCAAGAAATATGTGTTGACTAACTAACGAATGAATGATTACGAGACAGTATCAGGAACTGGTTAGGAGCACGGGTTTTAAGGCCAGATTGTCCGAGTTCATGTTTTGTTTCAAACGAAAACACATAAACCCTTCTAAAGTCAGGATAAAAATAACATCAGAAATCTAAGTTTCTCCTTTAAGAATACTGGGCCACCCTCTAAACCATTTCACAAAATTGAAGGTTAAAGGGAAAAAAGATCTCAAAGCAAATTCTTCCCTATTTCTTTATGTAGTAATCATTGTTCACTGAGCTATTTAAAACTTTCTTGAAGGAGTTAAGAATTCTTCTCTAGTATTTTATAATATTTATATTATTTAGTTATTTTACTTTCTGCTATGAACACTAAAGATTCCTCTTCTTTTAGTCATTTCAAATACTTCAAAACATTGTTCAGAAGCCATAAAAAACAAGGGATGGTGAGAAAATTAATTATCTAAAATTGTATCAGTTGATGTGAAAAATTTAATAGTAAGCTTCTAAGCCTTGCTTCAAGGTGTACTGTATTCCATGAAAGGTGAATTTACTGGAAATTTTAAAATGAACAAGCCACTAGATTGTGTTCCTAATGCAGTGACATAAAAAGTGATTCTGATCGTTCTCCTGATCTTAAACACAACGGCAAACACTGCTTAACTGGCTCTGACCCCTGGTACTGCCATTTTCTAGCCACGTGACCTGGCACAAGTCATTTATCTCCCTGCACCTCAGTTTCCCCATCTGTAAAATAGGGATGATGAGAAGCGTGCCCACAAGGTTGCTGTGGGGGGAAATGAGTCAGGTCAGGCACCCCTGACCTGTGCTCAGCGCACGTGTGCTAGCGCCGCCCCCCACCCCTGTCCTGGGCCCCGGTGCCTATGGAGATGCTCCTCACACCCTCATTAGCCGGATGTTGGCCTGTAGCTTCCCAGAGTCCAAATTCCCTCCTCGCAGTTCTGGTGGATTCCTCAGCTGGCTTGTCATTGCCATGGTGGGCTTGGAATGCAACCCTAGAGCATGGGAAAGGGCAGAGAGAGAGTGAGGGTACAGGCAGGCCTGGGGTCAGGTCCAGGGAATGCACCATCCATGAGAGATGGCCCAGGTCCCAGCCCCACCCACTCAGAGCCTTAAAATGTGTGACAGTGAGACAGAGGATGAAACTCACATCCATCAATAAGCTCCCATGCCCCTCTCTGGGCCTGGATGGAGAAGCCTGGGCACTTCCACATACCACAGTGACTGTGGGTGTGGACAGAGGGAAGGAGAGGGGTAACAAGGGGAGATGGCCAGGCACCCCTAACGCTCCCACCCACCTGGCCGGTGGCAAGGTCAGATGGGGTAGGGGTTAAAAGCAAGAACAAATGAGCAAGACAGCCTGGGTTTGAATCTGGGCTCTGCCTTCTGCTAGCTGTGTGACCTTGGGCAGGTCACATGGCCTCTCTGTCCCTCAGTTTCCCCATCTGTAAAATAGGAATAATCATCGTGCCTACCTCATAGGGTTGTTGTGAAGATTACATAAGAAGTTACCATACTTTAAAATGTTTGGAATGGTGCCTAACACATTTTCAGTGCTGACTATACATTAGTTATTATTACTAATTACTTATTATTACTAATGACCTGAGAATTGGGATCAGGACCACAGCACCAGACAAAGGCCTGGGAGCTATGCCAAACTCCCACTGGCTGTCTCTGAAATACCTATAAAGGATGTGCTCCTGCCCAATAAGAAGTATATGAAAATAATTCAGATCAGAAGAAGGCATTTGGAGGGCAAGTTCTTAGAATCCCTGCTTCCTCTCAGTGGGCCCTGCACCAGCATGAGACAAATCACCCAAACCATCACAAACGCTGCAGCTGCATCCTCAGCCCCCACCGAAATCCCTGCTCCAGGTGCAGCCCAGTGCATTTCAGAAAAATCTTATTTCTTTAATGGGTCAATATCCTTAACCCTGGAAAATTTTAGTATTATGTATTGAAGTGATGAAGTAAATTACAATAATTTTGTGTGAAAGTTATGAATTATCAGTATATATCTGGTATTTAATTATATTGTTTAAGAGATGGAATGATTAATAGATTAATCTTGTGGTTCTAATTTAAAATGTGTAAATGAGATTCTGATTTAGATTTAAGTTGAAAGGTTTAAGACACTCTTATTAAATGTGTATAAATTACCAAAACTTTTATGAGAACATAAGATTACCCATATTAAGAAGTTTATTTATTAGATGTACAAGAATTATTTAAATACCAAATGGTTTTTGTTAATCAGACAAGTGAACTATCTGAAAATGAATATATTAAATTTTACGACGTAGCTTAAAAGGTTTAGCGGAATTTAATTAACGAAGTTCTAAAATCCCTCTTACAAGTGTTTATAAAAATTATAAGATTTGTAAATTGAACTTAAATACTTAGGAAGATTTGTAGCCTTAATAATGAGTATTTCTTTTCATTAGTGGTAGTAGCCCTGATTTATCTTTTCTTTTAATTAAACTTTTAATTTTGAGATAAGTTCAGGTTATATGTAGTTTTAAGAAATACTACAGAGAAATCCTAGGTACCCTTAACTCAGTTTCACCCAATGGTAGCATCTTGCAAAACTAAGAACAATATCACAACAGGATCTTGACATTACAACGGGCAAGACAAAGAACATTTCGATCACCACAAGGATGGCTCAGGTTGCCTTTAAGAGTCACACCCACTTCCCTCCTCTTACCATCCTCGCCTCACCTCTGTCCCTAGCCACTGGCAATCACTAATCTGTTCTCCACTTCTATAATTTTGTCATTCCCAGAATAAATGGAATCATACAGTATAGAACTTCTGGGCTGGTCTTTTTTCAGTCAGTACAATTCTCTGGAGATTCATCCAAGTTATTGAGTGTATCAATAGTTCTTTTCTTTTTATTGCTGTATAGTATTCCATGGTATGGTTGTACCACAGTTTGTTCATTCACCCACTAGAGGACATCTGGACTGTTTCCAGTTTGGGGGTATTATGAATAAGGCTGCTATGAAACATTCATGCACTGGTTTGTGTGACCCTAAGTTTCGATTTCTCTGGAATAAATGCCCAAGTGTGCGACTGTTGGATCACTATGGGAACTTCATGTTTAGTTTCATTAGAAACTGCCATACTCTTTTCCAGAGTGGCTGCACCATTTTACATTCCCACCAGCAAAGCATGCACGATCCACTTTCTCCTCTTTGCCAACATTTGCTGTTATCACTATTTTTCATTTTAGCCATTCTAACAGGTGTGCAGTGACATCTCATTGTGGTTTAACTAGCACATCCCTAATGGATAATGGTTGTGAACATCTTTTCATGTGCTCATTTACCATCTGTATATCCTCTTCGGTGAAATGTCTCTTCATGTCTTTTGCCCATTTTCTAACTGAATTGTTTTTCTGTTGAGTTTTTAGAGTTCTTGATAAATTCTACATAGCAGTTCTCTGTCAGATATGTGGTTTGCAAATATTTTCTACAAGTCTGTAGCTTGTCTTTTCATCCTCTTAACAGAGTCTTAACAGAACAAAAGTTCTTAATTTTGATGCAGTCCAACTTATCCATTTATTTCATTTTTCTTTTATGGATCAAGCTGTTGGTATAAAGTTTAAGAACTCTTCACTTGGCCATCGATCCCAAAGATTTTTCTCTCTTGTGTTTTTTCCTAAAAGTTTTACAGTTTTACATTTACATTTAATTTTAATTTCATTTTACATTTACATTTTGAGTTCATTTTATATAAGTTGCGGACTTAAATCAAGGTTCATTTTTTTGCCTATGGATGTCCAATTGCTACAGCACCATTCGTGGAAAAGGCTTTCTTGCCTCCACTGGATTGTTTTTGCACCTTTGTCAAAAATCGCTGGGCATATTTATGTGGCTATATTTCTGGTTTCTCTATTCTGTTCCATTGATCTATGTGTCTCTTTATCTGCCAATACTATGCTGTCTTGATTATTATAGCTATATAGTAGGCCTTAATATCAGGTAAAGTGATTCTTCCCATGTTACTCTCCTTTTTCAATATTGTCTTATCTATTCTAGGACTTTGCTTTTCTATACAAATTTTAGAATAAACCTATGTCTACAAAATCCTTGCTGGAATTTTGATAGGAATAGCATTAAACATATAGATCAAGAACTGACATCTTTACTATGGTGAATCTTCCAATCCATGAACACAGAATGTCTCTCCATTTATTTAGGTCTTCTTTGACTTCTTCCATTAGCATTATGTAATTTTCAGCATAAGATCCTGTACATGTTTTGTTAAGTTTATACCTAAAAACTTCATTTTCTTTGAAGTGATTATAAACGTATCGTGTTTTTAATTTTGGTTTCCACATATTCATTGTTAGTACATAGAAATGTGACTGATTTTTGTGTGTTGTGCTTGTATCCTGAGACCCTGAGAACTCACTTATTAATTCTAGTTTCTTTTATATTTAGTAGATTCCTTAAGATTTTCTATGTAGACAGTCATGTCATCTGTAAACAAGAACAGTCAAATAATTATGATTCATCTCAGTGTTGGCATCTGTCTTTTCTCATTCGTGTCATGATTTTCCGTATTCTTAGTATGATGAGTGATTCTGATGTATCCTAGATGATTTACATATTACTCTGGATCTTATTTAATGTTCTTTTTAGCAGACAGTTCCTTGTTGACATGTAGCACGAAGGCCAGATGACTCTGTACGCTCATCACTCTGGCAGCCCACCTTCTACTTTCTATGTTTGTCTGTTGTGTTATGTCCAGGGTTTTTTAATTGTAAAAAGAAGGACCAGGAAGGAATGGGGCTGCTCCATCTCGATGGAATCGGCTGATCTATCTTTTTTAATACGCAAAAGCTGCCCTTAAGGACATGATTTTGCACAAGGCATGTTACCAACCTAAGCTTCAGTTTCCTCATCCATATAATGGTGATGACACCATCTCCCAGGTCACTGTAAGGAGTGAATGAGACGATGACCTCCTTCTATCGCAAGTGTATTTAAAGTTTTGTGCAGTTACATGTTTGAGGTTGGGACCAAGAACCCTGTGCGGCTAGACACCCAATCTGTCTCCTTCACCATGAGTCAACAATACTCAGCCCAATGCCAGGCACATGGGAGCTGAGCAAATGGCTGCTGCTAAATGAATACATGAATGAATGAATGAAAGAGGCTAGACAACCAAGCCTGACACAAAATAAGTCCTCAGCAAATGGGAGCTATTTTCATCATTATTATTTACACAGATTATTTCACTTGTATAAGGCAGGAATCTTTGTGCACGTTTCCCCAGGGAAGGAAACTGAGGCTGGGATAGGTAACTTGGATGGAATTGTGAGCAGGAAAGGAAAGTGGAACACCAGCTCAGGTCTGCATTTCCCCAGTGCCCACACTCTCTCCACCCATATGTGGTTAAAACTGTGGGTCCTAGAGCCAAAACGCAAAATGTCACAGCCTGGCTATGCCCCCTCCTACCTGTGTGAACTTGGGCGTTACACCTGTCTGTGCCTCATCTGCAAGAGGAAGTGACAGTGACAGCACCCACCTCACAGGGTTGTTGGGAAGATTCAAGGAAGTGACACGTGTAAAGTGCTGAGAACGGTACCTGGCACATAATAAGTGCCTGCGGTATATGTTAATTGCTCTTGTTCTTCTTGTGTCTGTTACACACCTCACTGCCTCCCCAGTGAGAGAAAAGGGCACGAGTTTCCTTGTAGATGCTGTCTGAATAGGGTCTAGGGCCGAAGACAACAACTCTGTCATCACCACCAGGCCCTGCGCTCATCACTTTACATCTACAACTCTCAACAGGGGCGTTTGAGATACACTGGCAGGGGAGATGTGTGGTTCTCACAAATATTGGGGGGCCCTACTGGCATCTGCGGGTGGGGGCCGGGGATGCTAGACATCCCCCAGAACAAGACCGCCCACAGAACACAGAATTCTGCTGTGTCCTGCATGACTTTCCAAAGTCCTACCAGATACTGATGTAGGTGAAAACCCTATTTATAATGATCTGATCCCAGAACCTGACACTGTTCTACATATAAACACAAAGAATATTTTTCAGGGTTTCACTGTAATGCTGAATTTTCCAAGAAAGCAGCTGCAATCAAGGGAAGACTGTGTTTTGTTTTGTTTATAACTTTACCAAGAGATGGGCACCACTTTGGAAATCATGACTGCAATGAAAAATCCCCCTCAGTATTGGAGTCCCCGATGCCCCACCATGCATCTATCTGCATTTGCAACTGTTACGTTGCCCGTGACTCTACATCTATGAGTGAGCTCCTGACTACTTTATCATGTCTTCTAGTGCAGTCCATCCTGAGCATTTACATACTGAAATATATGTTCTTTAAGTATGAATAACTTTCCTTGTATTTTTCCTTTACTTTACAGTTAGGGCATTATATTGGTTTTTCTTTTGTAATTATATACATAGGTAGGTTATATTATCTATGAGGTTCATTTCAGGATACTAAAGGAATATTACAAAATATTTGTTATTAAAAGGAGTGTTGGGTCTGATAAGCTTCGGCAACAATGCTTTACATAGATCTTCTCACTTAATTCTCACAACATCCCTCTGAGGTAAGTACTAGTGTCATTTTATAAATCAGAAAACCAAAGCTCAGAGAGATGAATGACTTTCCCAAGCAAGTAAGTGGCAGAGCCAAGATCTGACCCCATGTCTGCCTAAGCCAGGCCTCAGAACTCCCCTGGAAGGCATGACGATGATGTGGCAGAGATTATCCTGGGTTCACTAAACTCTGTTTTCTTTTCCTCCTGGACACACAGCTGGACTACATTTCCCATCTTCCCTTGTGGTTAGGAGTGGTCATATGATTTATGGCCACTGGACTTTGAGTGGGAGTGATATGTGTCACTTCAAGTCTGGGCCCCAAGAAAAAACTACCCACAAAATCATCCATATTCCTGCTCTCTCTCTCTCTCTTCCTTCTCTGCCAGCTGGATGCAGAAGTATCCAGCAGAGGACCTCAAGGCCTTACAAAATGTCAGAGCCACAATGTTGAAGGAGACTGGATCCCTGAATGATCGTGTGGAAAAGATTACCTTCTCCCACCCAGATCCACAAATGGACTTTGACATAAATGAGAAATAAGCTTCTGTATTAATACTTGAAATCTGGGGATTGTTTGTTATAGCAGTTAGCCTACCCTAATATATATGATGTCATCAAGGGCCAAGAGCATCCACTCTATCCTGTTCCCAACCCCCACACCAGCCCCCAGGTACCTGCCCACCTGGCTGGACGCTAGTCAAAGTCTTCATTTTGCTTTTCTTACGGCCCGTGGTTTGAAGGACTGGAGGCAGAGTAGATGGCTTGGTTTTCTGCTTGGACCGCTGCCATGGAACATAATCCTACCAGACATAACTCAGTCAGTCACACAGCGTGGTGGGTTCAAATCCCAGCTTCATCCCTTACAGATTTCTGTGACCTTGAACAAGTGACTTTACCTCTCAGAGCCTCAATCTTCTCACCTGTAAACTGGATCTACTTATAAAACCTACCTCCACAGGCTGATGCAAGAATTTCGAGAGATGGTATTTGGAAAGCATGTGGTAAGTGCTCCATAATGTAATTCTATCACTTTTTTATCAGCCAGCCAAAACTTACTAAGCACATCCAGGCTGTGAGGTGCTAAGAACTATGAGAAACAGAAGGCATGGAAAAGACCCAGCAGCAATGAGAGATAATTAAGAGAGCAGCATAATATACCCTTACATTCTGATAAAGTGGTGAGAAAACTGAGGTTGACAGGCTCATCCCGGGTCCCACAACAAATGTGTGACACAGCTGGGCTTGAATTCAGGTCTCCGGACTCTATCACCCGGGACAGTCACCGCCGCAGGGGTTGAGAGCAGGCACACCGCAGGCCCAGAGTCAGCGAGCCCCCCACCCCCACTCTAGCCCTCACGTACTCACCAGAATCTCGTACTTCTGCATCGTGGAGCGAATCCCAGAGTGGTTGGGTCGGGAAAGAGTTGGAGCGGGAAAGAACTTCCATCATTCCCAACTCATGGGGCTGCAAGCAGCAAACGTGAAACAGGCGTTGGGTCTCGAACCCAAAACCGCAGTTACTAAGGACCCGAGCGGAGCCGGAGCAGGGAGGGCGCCACGCAGAGGCGGGGCCCGGGAGATGTGGGCGGCGAAAGGGCGGGGTCAAAAGATAGGACGAGAGAGGACCCCGCGAGGCAAGGGGGCACGCATGCGCACTCCACCACCCCGCGATGCTCCTTTTACCTACTTCGGAGAGATGCACGCCATTGGGGAAAATGGAAGAAGAGTCGTGAGTCCGTGGGGCCCGGATCTCTTGGGATGCGTATTTATTCGACTTCTCCAACTTCCTTGTCTCAGCGTGGATCTCGCGGTAACCCTAGCCACTCAAACTTCCCAGCGAGACCCGACGCCGTCTCTCCTGTCTCCGTCTCCAAGGAAACAGACGCAGATTACAGAGCGCCTAGAGGGACTAATCTCTCAAAGCAAAACGTGGCTCTCCACATTCTTCTCAACTCGGTTTCCGTACCGCTCAGCGGGCGTCGCCCATCATCCTAAAGAATTAAGATATTTTTCTCCACTCTTATTAAACCTCTACTTCCTTCTCCATCCTTACTCTTTGCTTCCTATTTCACTAAGAAAATCTTGGGGAAATGATATATCACCTTATGCCTGTCAGAATGGCTATTATTAAAAAGACAAGAAATAAGTGTTGGAGAGGATGTGGAGAAAAGGGAACCCTCATACACTGCTAGTGGGAATGTAAATTGATGCAGCCACTATGGAAAGCAGTATGGAGATTCCCCCAAAAAATTAAAATAGAAATATGATCCAGCTATTCCACTTCTGGATATTTATCCAAAGAACACAAGAACACTAGTGCAAAAAGATATATGCACTGCTGTGTTCATTGCAGCATTATTCGCAATAGGCAAGACTTGGAAACAACCTAAGTACCCATTGATGGATGAATGCATAAAGAAGATGTGGTATAATGTATATATATGTGTATATATTTGCATATATATTTATGTATATGTGTATATATTTATGTATATGTATATATTTATGTATATGCATATATTTATATATAAATATATTTTATATGTATATTTTTATATATGTATATGTTTTTATATGTGTATGTTATATATGTATATATACGTATACGTTTATATACGTATATATACAATGGAATACTACTCAGCCATTAAAAAAAGATGAAATCGTGCCATTTGCAACAACACAGATGGACCTTGAAGGTATTATGCTCAGTGAAATAAGTCAGATGGAGAAAGACAAATACTGTATGATTTCACTCATATGTGGCAGGTAAACAAACACATAGATACAAAGAACAAATTGGTGGTTACCAGAGGGGAAGGGGGGTGAGGAGAGGGCAAAAGGAATAAAGGGGGACATTTGTACAGTGACAAATGGCAACTAGACTTTTGGTGGTGAAATCGATGTAATCTGTGCAGAAGTTCAAATATAATGATGTACACCTGAAATTTATATAATGTGATAAACCAGTGTTCCCTCGATAAAAACAATTAATTGGCAATTAAAAAAATAAAAGAAAATCTTGGGGATCAGTAAACTCACAAGTTCACATCACCTCATTTACCCACCTTCTTGCCTCCCTCCGGTGACCATGTACAAGCTGCCTACTAAGACCAATCCCTACCACTGTGCACTGAATCCTACCTACCCTCTTTCATTTTCCCTAAGATATTGCCCCAGCAATTCTCCCCATTTTCTCCATCACCATCTCCTCTGTATTATTCCCATCGGTATACCAACATATTTTAATTTCTTCTATTAAAAAAAAGTGAGCACTTCCCATCCAGCTACCCTCCCATGTCTGCTTCACTTTACAGTAAAACTCCTGAGGAGGTTTGCCTACTCTGTTTCCCATTCCTTTCCGCCTCTTCAATCAGGCATTCACTCTCCACCTCTCCACTGAAACTGCCCTTGTCAACACCACCAGTGACCTTGACTTTGCTGAACCCCACGTCACTTCTCAGCCCTCATGTTACTTGGCCTATCTGCAGCATTTGACACAGTGGATCACTCCCTCCTTGGCACACTTTCTAACCTTAGTGTCCAGGAAACCACTCTCTCGAGTTGCTTCCTACTCCTTTTCTTCTCCTTTTCTGCTTCCTCCTCTTCTCCCTTTATTATTGGATTGCCCCAGGACTCAGGTCTGGCCCTCTCTTTTTCTCTGTCTGCTCTCACTTCATTCATGCTGCCTTCCAGTCTTGTGACTTTGGATGCCATCTCTACCCAGATGCCTCCCAGACTCACATCTCTAGCATCTCCCCTGAATTCCAGCCACATACATCCAGCTGCCTACTCAACATCTCCACTTGGGTGCCTAATAAGCAACTCTAACATGCAGTCTTTCCCCAGAAACATTTTTTCCCAACTCAAAATGGCAACTCTCTTCCAAACATACCCTGCTTTCCTCTCACACCTAGACTACAGTACCAGCTCCCACCCTTGCCCCAGTTCAGTTCTTTCTCCACACCCCAGATTTGCTACATAGAGCATAGATTTAAAAGTGCATTCCAGGGCCAGCCCCGTGGCGTAGTGGTGAAGTGCGCGTGCTCCACTGCTTGTGGCCCGGGTTCGGATCCTGGGCACGCACTGACACACCGCTTGTCAGGCCATGCTGTGGCGGTGTCCCACATAAAATGGAGGAGGATAGGCACAGATGTTAGCTCAGGGCCAGTTTTCCTCAGCAGAAAAAAAAAGAGGAGGATTGGCATGGATGTTAGCTCAGGGCTGATCTTCCTCACGAAAATTTAAAAAAGTAAAAGTGCATTCCAGTTTAAAAAATAATTTGGAGGGAGCAAATAATTTGAAATCACCTAAATTTCGATAAACGAATGTTGGGCCAGCCCCAGTGACCTAGTGGTTAAGTTGGCGTGTTCCATTTTGGTGGGTTCCCAGGTGTACACCTACACCACTCGTCTGTCAGTGGCTATGCTGTGGCAGGGGCTCACATACAAAAAGAGGAAGATTGGCAAGTTAGCTCAGGGTGAATCTTCCTCAGCAAAAAAAAAAAATAAAATGAAATAAGGGAATGTTACTATAGAATACTAGGCCAGAGCCTGCAAACTTCTCCCCCTCCTAAAAATCATAGGAAACTGTTTTAAATTGCACTGCACACTACGGTAAAAGAAGAGACTGCTATGGTAAAAGCAATCAGCCTGGGTACTCTGGCCATCCAGGACCCTCTTGGATGCTCCTAGGGCTGAGGAAATCACTATGCTGGGCACCCCCACTTGCAGAACCCACTGTACCACAGCACTCCAGCTGAGAACCGGAAACTCTACCTGTTTCTGTACCAGGAAACAGTTAAAAAGTAGGAGGTAGCAATATGTGGTGGACCTGGGGTAGTTGCCTATCCAACAGCCATCCCTCCCTTTCATCCCAGCTAATGGGCTCTGATCTTGTTAGGTATACACTACCTTTAGAGGAGGCAGGCCCCAGCCCCAGTCCCAATCATGTCTGAGCTAGACTCGGTGGGCTCATTTCCCCGGCCAGTGATAGGTTTGGGCATAGGCATGTGATAAAAGTCTGGCCAAGGAGACAGGGTGAGAAGCCTACTCAGAGACTTTGGGGAAAGATTTTCATCACACCTAGAAAAAAAGACATTGCGGAAAAACATCCCTTTATCTACAACTAGATATTGTCATATCTGTGTGGCATTCCTGGATTTGTGACACTGTGAGGGGAGGTAGCTGAAGAGGACGTATTGGGAATGGAAGAGGGGAAAGTGGAAGAAATCTGTTCCTAGATAGCACTGGTGAGCCATTAAATGAACCATCCTGTAACCCATCTAGAAACTACTCAAGATTATGTAACAAATCACTTTACTGAGTGAGCCAATGTGAGTTGAGTTTTTACATACTCTCAAGCTAAAAACATCCTAATGAAACCTACATGTGGAAGAACAAAATAGAAGGAATCTGGGCCCCTGACAACCCTGCAGGACAGAGAGACCTACCCGCCCTGACCGCCTGCCAAATTCTGGGCTGCTTCATCAGAGAGAATAAACTTCCAACTTGTTTGAGATCTTGCATTTGGGGAGTGCTTTGTTATAGCAGCTTAGCCTATATCGTGACTAATACAAAAAGGGACTTGGCCACTGTCACTCAGCCTTCCTCTTCAGACATGCTGACCCAGCATGGACACCCACTGAGAGTTGCCTGCTCCTCACATTTCGGGTGCTCAGTCAGTAATATTACTACCTCCCATTTCAAATTTTAAAAATAAATAAATACTTAAACATTTGCAAAAATGCTGCCATTTTAATCAAAGCCAAAACACACTTGAGGGGCCATTGATAATCACTTGTCGTAACAATCTAAGCTGTTGTTGGACCTGGGATTACATAAGATGGAGTCCCACCTGCACTTACACCTGTTTGTGGTGCATTTCTGTGTTCCTGAGCACCTGATGGAAACTCCCGCCCCCAGCATGGGTGGGCAGGATGAGGTGGCCTTTCCTTCCTGCACAGAGCAATGTGAGATGATGAGTGTGACAGAGGGCCATCCAGCCCTGCTTAGCTCCAAGCTCAGCAACAGCAGCCTGGCCTCTGACCCCTTCAACACCTTGCTGACTTGGCTGAGCAGGCTGCCAATGGGCTTCCACCCAATGTCATTTGATATGCCGGCTTTGTGGCAAAGTCACACACCTTCCTAAACCCACAATCCCTACTGTAGTCATTGGGTGAGATGCCACGGATCTTGTGGAGGCCCCTGCTACACTTGACACAACAAGATTCTGGACATTCCTTCTTGTACACGTCTGCACAGCACTCAAGAGCTACCTGCACTTCCATCCCAAGAGCCCCTGTTGAATCCACTCCCAGGTCTCAGCTCCCTGTTGTCTTCTTGTTGCACATGGATGCTGTTCTTCAGTTGTCTCTCTGCCCTCTTCAAATCCTATTCAGGCCTGAGTATGAGCACAACTTCCTGGGGTGACTTGGAGCT